TGTCACCCATAACAATTTGCATAGTCCCTCAAGAAATAGTTTTGACTCTTGAGTAAATGAGTGGCAAACATATGCTGGTTTTTCCTCATCAGTAACTTTCATTTTTCCACAGTAAAGAAGACGCTTTAAAAGAGGAACAGAAAGAGTTAATGTTTTCAAATTATAGATACTAGGTATTATCTCTGTAAACTTAAGAATTCCTGAAGCTCTAAGAACTTTGGTTTAAATAGTTCAAAGTATATTCATATCAGCAGAGGGGCTCTGCCTTGACTCATTAGCAACAAACACAGGCATGAATTTTTTCATTTCTTTCAAAAATATCAGTTGAGCTCTTACTATGTGCCATTCACTGTGCTTGCTGTTGGGGACAAAAAATAAATATATGATAGTTGACCTCAAGATTTAGAGTGCAAGCTGGGCCAGCTAGTGCATGCATGTAAGCCCAGCACTCTGGAGGCTGAGGCAAGAGGAATACCATGAGTCTGAGGCCAGCTTGGGCTATGTAGTGAGTTTAAAGGTAGCCTGGGCTACATAGCAAGACCCTGTCTCAAAAACATTACAGTACAATATAATGGAATCAGGAGCTCAAATGTTTCCTTGGCATTGGTACTGGTACAGCCTTTGGATTGTCCAAACTTCTCCCTCTGCAATAATTCTCAGAGAAATGCTACATAATGTCCAGTGGGTGGGGGACACCATTAGCATTTATTGGAAGGATAGAGAAATTCATGTATGGATCCCCAGCACTCTCTCAGAGGCTTCCTCTGAAATGAAATAGAAACAGCACAACACCTGGTTCCCTGTCCATATCTACTCTGAATCAGTGTCTTCGAGGGCTCCCTGCTGCGGAAGGTGTTTTGGTCTGAATCAGGAAGTGACCCACTTCTCTGTCCCTTGGGTTTTGTCTCAGTAACACTCCACACACAATTAGAGAATTGTCTTTTCTGATTTTGGAATGGAAAACATTAATAACTCACATAGGTGAATACTTAGCATGCTGTCCCTGCCATCTATAGGGGTGGTGGTGTGAGAAGGAACTGTCAAACGGGCAGGTGACTCAACACAGCTCAGAATAACACAACCTGGCTTCCAGGAGGTCTTGCTAGCCCTCAAGAACAAAGGCCAATTTAGCAGCAACTTGGGTATGAGGTCTTCCACCTGAACTCTGCCCCTCGCCATCTCCCTTGGGCTTGACAGCTCCCAGTTTTTCCTGAGAACTCCCTTTTCTGAACCCATTGGCCCTTTCCAAAACCAGAGAATTTAGGCAGAATCTGAAATCTGAGTTACTTGACAACAAAGGACAAGCCACAGGATATTGAATGTGCACTGACTGGAAATGGTGTCTCTAAGTTACTGCTCCTGGATGGAGTGTTTAATGGTGCTGCCCAGGAAGTGTCAGGGCATTGGCTCAGCCTCCAGGAGAGACAGACTCTTCCTGCCAAGAGCACTTTTAGCTCCATTTCCAACCTGAGAGTGAGCACAGCAAACTGGTGAAGGCAGAAAGAATGCTGCCGCCAGAGTAAATGTGGATTCCTGGGCCCCAGGAAGACAGACACAGGATGATACTGCCACACTGCTGTTTACATTAACAAAGATGTAGATGGTGCTGGCAGAACTGGATGCAGAAAAGCATTGTCTTCCATAGGAATTAAGTAATAAGGATTCTATACTTTCAGAATATAGTCTGAGAAGGTACTGAAACAGACTGAGGTGCAGCAGCAAATATTCTGAGCAACCAAAGGTCCCGAAGAGAGAAAATGCTGTGATGTTCTACAGCAGACAGTGACAGCCTACGAGAAGACCCAGATCCTCATGGGTTTACCCCGAAGGAGGATCATCATCAGCCTAGAGACGAAAAAGCCAAGGCACATGCTCAGAAGCCATCAATACTGAGACTCCAAGCACTGGTAGAGCCAGTGGTATTCTGTGTCTATTCGGGAAAGTTACTGGACATTTTCACTAACTCACAAGGTAACTACGTACATGACTGATGAAGTCACGTCAAATGTCCAAGCCTAAAACCTATATTAAATCCAAAAGGGTCAGTTAAACTAAGTATTTGGTTCTATTAGGTACATTTACTTGGGTGAATAAATTCATTTGTAAAAATGCTCCCCCTCTGAGGTGTTATAGGATGTATAACTAAAAGAAGTAAAAATGAAAGTGACAATTAGCAACCGTGGTTAGATTACTCAGCAATTAACTTTCTTTCTAAAAAATTCTGCCTCGGGCTGGGGATATAGCTCAGTGGTACAGTGCCCACCTGGCAAGCTCAAGATCTTGAGTTCGATTTCCTGTACAAAAAAGAAAATTACCTCATCAAACACTAAACAGAAACACAGAATACACAACCAGTACCTTCATTTTTATTGGTTTAACAAACATGGTTTAATTATCAATTGAGTACATTCTTAATAAACTACAAAGTGACATGAGTTGAAGATGAAGTGAAATAATACTACAAAAACTCAAAACAAATCCAGTGTTTCATGTATGAAATAATACCACCAAGAGTACAGTGAAGCTAAAATTAATTCATTCAGTTAGACACAAAAGGGCATGCAGATTCTCAAACAAGAAGTATTTAGGCTTCTATGTCAATGTCACAGGATATTAAAGAGCTCTTTCTATTCCTGGATAAGTAATTCATCTTTACTTATTTGTGAAAGTGACTTTAGAGATAAATATGGACCAAAAATATCTACAGTGCATTTTGGCAAATTTTATCCACAGCCAACCCCCAAACAACTCTGAATAGTCTATTACTGTAAGGGGCAGGTCACAGGGTTCACTGTATCACAACACAGCAATGTAAGTAAAATAGTGTGAAAAATGTCAAATTTGCTCAACTTCACTTCTGAAGGCCTTGCTGCAGTAAACATGACTATTATCGGTCATTTACTTTTCTTTCATTGCAGAGTATGTTCGTTTAAATCTGCCTTCATCCCGAATTGTGATGTGCAGACTACCTATGGAGATGTAACTAAGTTTAATCCATCAAGCTGCTGCTTATAAAGGTACATAAAGTGACATTTTCTGCTGAAAACAATAGAAAAATAAAAACAATCAAAATGGAAAGCATAGTCATCTGGATATGATTCATGGCAAGTTTTAATTCATATTTAACCACCTAATTTGCTAAGAAAATTTTATTATGAACCTCAACTCTTAAGTACTAAAGTGGCCTCAACATGTGTACTTCTGTTTTCTGGGACTCGTTAAGGATATGGAGGAGAAACAATTCTATTGTTGTTTTGGACATTTTCTTTGAAGCAACTGCATGACTCAAGAAAGAAATTGAAAAACCAACAAGCAGTACAGCTTTACAGTACAAGACACTTGCTGAAATTCTCTTCTTTATATTCCTTAGAAACACTATACCAACACATAAGAATAAAGAGTTCTCATGGAACATATTTTGTACAGCACTTTTTAAAATTAGTTTTATAAGGGGCTGGAGATTTAGCTCAGTGGCACAGCGCCCGCCTGGCAAGCGCAAGGTCATGAGTTCGATTCCTGGTACCAGAGAAAAAGCAAAAAAATGAAATGAAATAAAATAAAATAAAATAAAATTAGTTTTATATTTAAGCCCACAGGAAAAAACAAAGTTCTTTTCAACTGAGAACATGAACTAACATCTCAAACTTGCCCAGTTGGTTTGTGATGTACCACTCCCATCCATGTCTGATGCTGAAAGCCTAAATCATGGGAACTCCTTAGTCTAAGCCAGCATCTCAACGAGCAGCACAGAGAGGTCTGGATAACTGGCAAAGATGGGAGACTGATGTGCTAGTCTGACGACTGACCTGGAACTGCATAATCCATAGCGGCCTCAACAGAAAAGCAATTTTCTCACAGGCTTTGCACACGCAAGATGTATGTAACTACTGGAAATTGCTGATGGAGCTATTAAAATGGGCTTTAAAATGTTTAAAGAGATGACACATTATTTCTAGACCAAATAACCAGAACAAACATAAGAATCTTTCCTGAAATGTCAACTAAAGAAAACTTTGGAACTGGAAAATATCTCATTTGAAATAGAAATGCAAGAACCACTCTGCAAATCTGTTTTGAGGATCTTTTGCCTATGTCCTATATTGAAGAGATTTTTGAACCTGCTCATTAAAATTGCAAGGCATTTAAAGAGAAAATGTCCTTCCTGAGGACTCCTACAACTGGCAATGCAGATCACTGTCAGAACAACCAGATACTCTAGAGTGAAGTCTGAGATAGTTTGAGGAAACAGGTCTGGTTCTATCATTAAAAATATCAGAAAGTCATTCAACTCCACAGGGTCTGGGGAGTAGAAGCTTATGCTGCAACATGGGCAGGAAGAGCACTCTGCAGTTGACTGAATCTGAGGTGAGCTGGGCATTCATGCTGCTGGCAAGGCTGGAAGGGACCTGCCAGGGCCAACCTACCTCGACCTCCTCTCTAAAAAAAGAATAAATAAACCAAAAGAACTGGGGATGTAGCTCGATTGTAGAGTGCTTGTCTAGCATGCATGAGCCCCGGCTGTCAACCCTTCCCCCTTCAAAAAACAAAGAGGAAGAAAAAGAGGTGAAAAAACTACGGGCTGAGTTTATGTGTAATCAAGCACACACTATGAACATTCGTGACCTCTGCATAGAAGAAAGTATTACAATGTATTTGGTGTTGTATGGATAAATCTGATATGCGATGAGACTTTAGCGTACTTTGACAATCCTTGGACAATGCTTTCCTGCAATCCGTAATTTTAAACTGACACAGGTCTACATTAATAGTAAAAGAGGAAAGAAATGGTGTCAGCAAATGGCTTTTGGCAACTGGTGCTGAAGATGGGCTGACGCGGCCATTGCCACTGAAATTGTCTCTTCCATGCTGATAACAGTGAGCTGGCAAGGGCTGTCCTCTTTTCTTTTTAGAATTACATTCAAAAGATATTGGGCTGGGGATTTAGCTCAGCGGCAAAGCGCCTGCCTGGCAAGCGCAAGGTCGTGAGTTCGGTTCCCGGTACCGGAGAAAAACCAAAAAAAAAAAAATAATAATAATAATAATCCAAAAGATATTTACTCCTCATATAGCTGATATATTTAGTTATTAGAGGTGAGATGTGCAGCAAATTATTCATGTAACTCTTATCTGCTTTGAATGACATAGGTTGGATGGACATGCATTTTCCTAAATCTCTTATTGCTTTTTGCTATTATATAGGAAATCAGCAAGAATTTGAAATAAGTATCTCATTAGCAACTCACAAACTAAGTCTCTATTTCCAGGGAGTCTGGCTGGTATAACAGCTAATAGTTCAGAGTCTGAAAAGTAATAAAATTTTAAAGCCAGTTAGATTTGGGAAGGATTCTCATCCCATGTAAGCTTCAGTTTTCTTAGCTGTGGAATCCCGCTAACTGCATCTATCCCGTATTGTTATTAGAGTATTAAGTATGATAATAGCAGTTAATGCAGACTTGGTACATGAGGACAAAGTTCATTCTGGTAACTAGTATATCCCAATAACCTAAGACAGTGACTGGAACATTATAGGTGCCCAGCAAAGAGAGGTGGAATATATAAATGTGTGATTATTCTGATTCTGCCATCATTTGCGAGAGTGGCTTAATTCCCATTTCTTGACTTGCAAACTTTATTACTAACTCTTTGTCAATATTTATACAGTTTATCATTTTGCCTCTGACATTAGCAAACCACCAACATTCCAGGATGATATCCCATCCTAACCTTACCTCTTAATTCAGGATGAGGCTGTCTGATCTTCATAGCACCGAAAAAGACTGCCCTTTGCCTGCAAGTTATCTGATTCTGCAACTATCCATTCTTCCCCTCCTCTACCTCGGACACTCTCCTATCTGTGTTCACTTAGAAATCCTCTGCCTTTACACCATTTTACTCCACTTGCTGAGCTCACATTGAAAGTCACTTTCCCTGTTTTCCTCACTAGACAAGATGGGACTACTGGGCGCCTTCGTGTAGACTGCCTCTGTGAAGTATGGTACCTAGGATGTGCCGAAATAAAAAATTCTTGGACTACCTTGTACATGTAATGATGATTTAATCATTAGGTCTTACTTGGTTATTTGGTGCTAATATGCTAATGCTAAATATATCATAATTGCAGGGAGACAGAGTTTTCCTCTGAATAAGTGTTGTTTCCTGATCTGTGATATATAGTGTGAAAACAAAAACATCTCAGGTTGGATAAATTTTCCTAGTTTAACTTACAGTGAATTATTAAAAATATGCAAGCTTTATTTTTAATTGGATGTGCCTAAACTTTCTGAAAAGTTAAAAAATTACTTTTGGTTTAACAAACACCAAATGGTTCTGACTCCTAAATGTATGATAGACTGCTTGTTGTGGCAGAGAAAATACTTGCTTTATTCAAATTACGATTCTGTGCCTGTTTTGTCAACCTAGAAAACCACTTATGACAGTACTGAAACAGCCCAGCGATTCTGCAGTGAGTTCACTGTACCATGATCAGCATCACCAAGAAAAGGCTCAGATCACATTCTACACACTTTGTCACTGTGTGGGAATCTGTATCCATGGGAACTACAATCCCGGCACAGAAATGTAGGTCTGACACCTAAAGAGTAAGAATGTTTCTGGGACTAGAAAAACTATTCGACTGATTCTGATAAAAAATTAAAACCCTACAGAATATATTTGTCAGTTTATGTGTAGGACAGACATGTAAAGATTTGAGAGAGAGGAGAGAGAGATTTTTGGCTCTTTCTCCTCTGTGTTGGGGTGATTGGCCAGGATGGGCAGGCTGGCCGCGTCCTTCTGGTAGAAAGCTATTGGTGGTTAATAGAAGAAAACATAGCCTAGGAGTGGGAGAGAAGAGAAGACTGCCCTGAAAATGAACATTTAGGACAGCCTGGCACATACTAGTTTTTGTAGCCACTCATTATTGAATTGGAGGAGAATCATTGGGTTTGACAGTGCAACTAGGCATTTAATTGTATATTTACAATTTTAACAATAAGATTTGAAAACTGACCTTCTTCAAAGCTAAGTGCATCAGTAATGCTGAGTATATGAACAGGCCTCTCTGTGTAGCTCTGGGGCCTTCTCTCTTGTACAGAGAGACTTTATGAAGAACACATGTGTTACATTTGTCCTCAGGAGATTTTTGAAGGTCAGCAGACACTCATGAATATAAAGGCTGCATTGCATTTTCTAGCACACCTGTAGGTTGCACTCCTGTGACAAACAGAAAGGAAACGTCAGCACGTTAGCTTAGAAGCTTGATGTTTAGTCTTTTTTTTTGACTCATTTAAGAACTGTCTAGAAACTCCATTCAGAAGAAATATTTTAATCTAATAATTTTGATTTGCAATAAGTAAAAGAAATTTATAGTTTTCAGCTTTTGTGTTTCATGAAAACCTTTCAGCTTTTAGAACTAGAAGAAGAAGTTATTAGATTATGATTTCAGCAATGTTTTCCAAATTATTCTGATTGAAGTCTAACATTTACCATGAGGGTGGCCAAACAGGGAAGGAACTGTCTTTAGGTAGTATAAAACCTCTCCTCCCACTCAAGTAATTTTTCCATAAAAAATAACATAAACTGATTTCACTAACAGAGAAAGGTGAGTTCTATTTATTTATTTATTTATTTATTTATTTATTTATTTATTTTGGTTTTTCTCCAGTACCGGGAACCGAACTCACGAGGCCAAGCACATGAATCATTTAAAGAGGCAGTGATCTCCATGATTGCAAAAAGTGCATACTGGGTCACCAAATTAACACTCTCATTAAGAAATGTTTGCCATTCCCCTGAAGAAAAAAGACCTAAGTATAAATTCATACTTATGGATCACATTTTTCTGCTGTCACCACCACTAGATGCATTTCCCAGTGCTTTGTTCTAGAAAGATCTGTTAAACATCTTATTACTAGCTTTTCTTTTGAATAAACATTTGCATTGGAGCAGGTCTGAATCAAATTAAACCTGTCAGTGCTGTCCAAAGCAGAAATTTACTCAAGCAGACAGATGTATTTCTCAGCTTTATGCATGTTTTAATTCTACCTTTTATTACTACAGCAAGTTTACCGCAGGGGTATTTGCCAAGATAAAATTCTCATTGTTTTGGTCTAATTATACGTATTTTCTGGAACTAAGGTAAAAATGTTATCATGTTAAAGAGAAGGTGTCATTCACTCTCATTTGTGCAGAGTTGTTTTTTGAAATGCTTAAAGTGTATGTGATAACTCTGTGATTTCCAATCAGTTCTATTGCTGGCATACAGCACTGCATTATACATTCTAGCGTATGGAAAGCTTATGCTGGCTCAAATGGACGCTCAAGTTTTTAAATGAGACTCATATGAATCTCGTGCATTTGGATTTAGAAACTAAGATATATAGCTAGTAATTGGTGACTTTTAAAGGAAATTCATTTTTCAATTAAATTATCATTTCACACTTCTACCTGAGAAAAGAGTGTACCACAGGTATTCTGCTAGTGGAGCACAGAATGATTACAGCATTTGAACAAAAGAAACCCCTTACTTGCCTCAACTTTCTAGATAGTACTGGAAACCAGAATTATTTGAATTGCCTAATTCCCTCCTTCACTGCCACCTTGTTTTCTACAGTGGACTTTGTGTGGAATAATTATTGTGGGCAAATGTATATGCAAGACAGAGAGCACTTAACTTCCTTCAATTCATAGTGCATTTATCTGCAGAGCCAGGGAATCCAGCCCTTTGGGAAAATGAAATAATCCATTACAACAAAAGGAACTAACTTTTCCCTCATAATTAATAGTAACATATAGATCTTTACCCGTACCATTTTGGTCAAGCTATCACATACCTCATGCCTTCAATTTTTATGTTTTCCTACTTTTCATGCATCCTTTTACCCAAATTTGTCCTTCTGTCTTGAACCACTGTTGTGAGCATGAATTTTGTTTCATCAGTCTAAAGTATCAAGGTTGTTGAAGTGACTCATTAGTAATAGTGTTGTACAAGTGAGAAGTTACAATCATAATGTTACTTGGGTGAAGTAGAATAGAGGACGAATGAAAGAAGCCCTAGGAAGAGAAACCCTATTAGTGAAATATCGTGAGACTGTAACTCAGCTCTTCCAAAGAGATTATGGAAAGTCCAGGGGGTCAAGGACCAGGTCAGGAGAGGGAAAGCAGGAGAGAGAAACTGACAGTTACAAAATTCATGATGAACTCCACTACAGATGAGCCCAGTTACTGGGTTTGTAAAATGGCCCCAGTGACCTTCATTAAGGTGTTAAAATATGTTAGGTACATGTGCCAACTCCTCACAGCAAACGTGATCACTGTATACTGCAAACATACAGTGATAAAGATCAAAGTTAAGAAATGAAAAAATGGAAAGAAAACAGGAAAGACAAAAAAACAAAAACTGCTCTAGCTTTTAGCCTCATTGTCATTCACTCTGCTTCACAGGTCAGCGATACAATCCACGGTTATATTTCCTCAGTGCAAAAACGTTTTTCAAAGTAGCCTTTCTTTTTAATTGCAATTGATAAGGGATGTAAATAGAATTTCAGAGTCACACAAAACTTCTCACATTTTGTTACTGTAACTCAGTCTGGGGTACAGTTTAGTGGGTCATTTGTCCAATAAGGGATAACTCATTTTCAGCATATGCAGTCTGAAAATTACAGAAAAATGAAACCCTAAAATGTGTTGTGGCACCAAAACGCACCATATCTTTTGTAATGCTATTAAAGCATCTTATTAAAGCTGAAAATGAAATCTAGTGAGAAGCTGCCTGCCCCAATTTGGTTAGTTTTGGGTAGAAGTTAGACTAATCAGTTGACAATGGATAGAGATATCTAGAGATCAAAATTAGGCATTTCTGCAAGCTTAAGTAGAATGATGAAATTATGGATATGAAGTGGGAAAATATTTCATGAATGTTTTTCTTTGCATTGCAAACCAAATCAAGAGCTTATGTCAGTGTTTTACTTTATGATGAGAAGAGTGGCTTTAGTGAATTATTACAGGTTAGCTTGTCATGTGTTCATATCTTAATGAATGTAAGATATTCCTGTGATTAGGACAGACCGAAGGACACCTGAAGTTTTCATTCACTAAACAAGCATGTATTGATCAACTAGTGTGTGCTGGCTATACAGAAATGACAGTGACATGATCCCAAACATACGTTACTCACATTGGTTTAGCCTTCAATGTTTTAGGTTACTTGTGAGTTTAATTCTGAAACTTAGTGAAATTACAGAACTAGTAAATTGTAAAACAAAGCAGTGCGGTTAGCCAGGATTTTGTAACAGTGGCGCTTGAGCGGAGGAGTGCTTTCAGTAGATTTGTCTTCCTCTAAATTCACTCATGACTTGCACTGGATGGATTTTCTTCTTTGCTGATCCCCGTCTGACAGCAGCACAAGTCTCCTCTGGCTTCTCTCTTTTAATCAAGGGTTTTTTTGCCGGAGCCTTCATCCTCCACGTCACCACCGGGTGCCGGGGCCCAGCCGGACTCTGGATTCGGATGATCTTGGTGGAGGCGATGTAGGACATTTTCACTGTCTGCACGACAGCATTCATTAAATTTTTGGCTGCTTGGATCAGGGAGGTAACACTGTCCAACTGTAGTAAAGAAAAAGAAAGAGCTACTAGTCAAGAACTCCATCCAGAATTAAAGCGTTTTAATGATATAGAAGCTGAAAAGTGCTGCTTTACTTTTACCGTAGAAATGAACCAGCTAATTCTCATTTCCATATTCTCATATGTATAGTTGTCTGCAATACCGTATCTCTATCACTTTCATGACTTATCCATTTATGTGATGCATAAATATAGCTATATTGTACCTTTTAAGATGATATCTTAGAGAGACTAATTTTTCTCTCCTGGTTTTCAGAGAAGCAATATAAATTCTGCAATATTTAAAACAATGTAATACCTTAACATCATAGGGTCATTGGTTTTTGCAATTGATTTCTCTATTTCTTGGGGATAATAGTGAGCAATAATATATATATATATATATATATATATATATATATATATATATATATACAACAACAACAGAAAGTTTTTCCTCTCATGGAATGTACAGATAAGAAAAACACCGTATGTATATGTGTGTGTAAACATGCAGGTGTACTATTTTCTCTCATAAATATTTCCTAAATAGTCACACCTAAACTTTTAAACTTAGAACACTTCCTAGTAGCCTGGAGGTCAACATAAAATCCTGCTGACGTAAAAAAAGCCAAGGCTTATAGTCAAATACAGTTGAGTTTAAATTCCAGATCTCTCGTTGGTCACTTGGGGACACTAACCTTTGTGACCTTCATTTCTTCAGTGGTTAGATAGGCAAGACATGCCTATTAATGTAAGTAGGCCAGTAGAATGAGTGCCACAGAGTTTTTTATTAAATTATTTTTATAAAGTCTTCCACATCACTTAAAGATGAAGATGCACTAATGAAACGGCAGAACAGAACTTGTCCTAATGCAACTCTGTTTCTGTTATATTTTTCTGGGTTCTCCCTCATGAAAAAGAAAAATAAAATAAACAACACCAGGGGAAGAATAGAATGATATTCCTCGAATCTTGCAAAACACCTAAGAGCTAAGCAAAGTCGATTCGTTTTTACACCACCAAGGCCTCCTCCATTGTTTTACTTTGGCAGCTTGTCACCCACAGCAGGCGCACAGGGGAAGCTGTGCCTGGGCTTCACCCCTCTGTGATGTGCGCTGCCAGGTTGAGACTCAAACACAGACTCTGCACTTGCTGAAAAAGTCCGCAGCTTCCTGGCCAGAGTCCTCTACCTTTGCTGTTTGCGGAGTCTCACCTCACATACAGAATAAATGAGCGAAGGCAAGCAGTAAGCTGACATTATGTGCCTAAGGCAGTGGTCTAGCCGGCTGCTTCCTTGGAAGAAAATTGAATTAGCTCCATTATATGACAAGCCTGAAACCCCAGAAAAGCTGACACCAAAAATGTGCAATCTGAAGACAGTAATATTTGCCAACTACACATCTGTACATCTTTTTTACCCCATGAACCCAGAAAAGTAACATCTGTGAATATGGCAGGAAAGTCAGATGTCTCACAAACACTGAAAAGGATTTCATAAAGTAATCACATGCATTTTGGAGAACATGTAGAGCTTGTGAATCTACTATACATAACTTCAAAAATGCAAGATTTTTAGCAACATAATACACCTCACTAAGAAATTACTGACAGATTTCAAGCTAAACTGCTCTTTAGATATTAACAGTTTTCATTATAAACCTCTCGGAGCTCAGTTAAACTTGGAGGGTAGTTTCTACTCTCACCATAGGAAGAAGCAAGATTTTATAGAGTGAAATAACATTTGAGGATCCTTGGTAATGGTATCTTTCCAAAATGAAAATATTGGATTTATACTGAGGCTTTATACCACCACAAAGTCTTCTACCCAAACAGATCCTAGGATCTCCTGCTATAGAATATTCCGCCATTAGCTTTGGACTTTCCACACTAAAACTCACATTCTCTTTCTCTTCTGAAAATGTGATTTCTATCATGAAGAGGCTACAACTAATTTCTTTTTTCATTTTTCCATATAATTGGTACATGTAGACCAGCAGTCAGGGAGGGTGTTGAAGTTCAGGCACATCTAGCTCTGTAGGGAAATGGCTCTTATGTCCTCACATAATCACCAGTCCCTGCCTGTACTGCGTGTGATGTCAGATGCTGGCCTCTGACAAATCCTTTGATTCTAAAATGCTAAATGGCCATAGTAAATGTTCTTCTCCACATGACCCAGGAAAACCACAGGAAAAATTATCTCTCTAGGAGAAGAGTAGTTCTGCAGACAGATTAGGACAATTGCTCGCAGGATACTGTTGTTGCACGAGGAAGCTTTGCAAGACATTTTATATCTTTGAAGGCTAAGAGCTATACTTACTTGAATAATGCGTATAATTCTAAGGTTTTAGCCAAATAACAGGGCACACAGCAATGGGCAAAGACAAGTCCAGCTAATGAAAGGAAATTTTGTTCAATTCTGAAGCAATGTCTGTAGCTTATTCACAGACTATAACTGTGCACAATTTCATGTCTGCAAAAAATAACACTAATTCTTTAATCCTTGTATATGTTCATGAAAAATTCTTGAGTGAAAGGATTCAATAGTCCTTTGTGTAAAGACAAAAGCAAATTTAAGTGCAGTAACATATTACTTTTGGGTCCATATTGAACTTGTTGAACAAAAGTTCTGAGTTTCACAGATGTAACTGTGCAAGAATATTATTTATTTCAAAGATTTATTAAAACAAATCAACCAGACTGTAAAACATAAGTGTATAAAATTTCTAGAAGAAACCTTCATTAACTGTAAATTCTATTACTCAAACATACCTTGCAGTATTTATCATAGAGGAGGGCCTTTTTATCAAACATCTGGTAATACTATCCTCTGACTTAGAGGAAGTACTTTTGATTAAAGTATCAGTGGAGAACAATAATGTCTTCTAAATCCTGCATATGTCCTGCAGTTTTATGTAAGTATTTGTATGTGGATGCATGAAACCAGCTTTACTCTCATCCTTCCCAAAATACGAGCACAATTTTAAATAAAGATTCAAAGGTAATAACCCAAATTAATATCCTATCATAATGCCTATCATCCATCATATAAACAAGAAAGATGTCCCAATGCTAACAATATTTGCTTATTCCCATACCATAAAATAACTGAGCCTGATAATCTGTTATTGTCACATGAGTGGTTCAATATTTTTATGTCCAATTAATTTGGCAGTCTCTCTATATCTTAGTTTTAGTATCTCAATAAATGATAAGTGATTATGTTTAATAAATTAACTCATTCTAATTGTAAGATTTATTTTAGACAATCTAAATAATGTTCATCTAAGTAGAGTCTTAATATTATCATGAATGTAAGTTTATCATAATATCTCTTCCATGCACTGTGATATGTTTTACATGATTTCACCTAAACTACAGTATACAAATTTAACTAATTTAAAAAATGTTTTCAGGTGAAAGGCTTACTCCTACTTAAAAACATATGAACGAACTTTTACTATGGGAAAAAAGAGCCATGACTACATAATATGTCATTTTTTGTCCATGTAACTAATATATAGAGAATAACTGGATCTTTTTACAAAAAACACCACCACTTGCTAGGTGAGTCCCTGAAAACTATGCTAAATTGAGATGTCAGCTAGAAAGCCTTTGTCAAATTCTACTGTAATTACTGACAGACAAGAGCAAAGACATCGGAGCATATCCCTTCTTTTGACTTTACTTTTTCTGTTTATTTTTTCCAGGTTTTATTTTTTATTAGTACACTTTCACATTGCATAATCATTACATTCCTTGTGAGACACTGATTATTTTCGCTTATCCCCATATTCTGCATGCAAGTCCTTTACCAGGCATGTACTTTGCATTAACATTCCAGGTTTAAATGAATTGCACTTCCATTGATGAGCACTTCATATCCTTGCACCTGGCCTGTCACCTGGGAAAAGCATAGTTTCCCAAAGCCTGTGGGAACTGCTATCCCAGGTATTTCTTCAAGGACTCCTGCTGAGAGGAAGCCCTATGCTCCTTGGAAAGAGGTATTTCCCATCACGAAACCATTTCCATACATTGGTACCAAGTATAGCCTATAACATTTTTGTAAGTCCCAATGTTTTCCTGAACTCAAAGTCCCCTGGTAGATATTGCTCCTGCCTACAAGATATATTTTGAAAGTCAAATGTGTCAACATTGGTTCTAGGCATAATAACAGCTTATAACCATTGCTAATATCCATTGTATGATATTGGAAATAGACTGGAATGAATCATTTGCGGTAAGCACTATTATTATCTTTATTTTTGTGAATGGGAAAACAAAGGAACTGGAAAGTTCGGCATATTTCTGAATATAACACAACTATTAAATGGTCGAGCTGAAATTTGAATGGAGTCCAATGCCACCTTGAGTTTTTGCTCATTTTATGCCGCATCTCTCAGAAACGTCATTTCTGATGTGTGACTATTTTCAATTATTGAATAGTTGAAGAAATTGTGCTCATAATAACACAATATCTAAGATTTTAAAGTAAAATACAATAACTCTTTTTTAAAGAATGTCAATTTTACTTTGTAATGCTTATTGTTATTAAGAATAGTGAGAATACCTTACTTGCTTTTTTAAGAGGTTGACTTGAAATGATTATTTAATATCAATTTCTAAGTAGAAGTTTTGGGGAAGAACAGATAGAAAAAGAATTCACTCATCCTTGTAGGAATCAAACCATTTAAAGACAGATTAATATTTTTAAATTTTAAATTCTGCATCGTAATAAAAGCAGACTGATAAGGTCCAAAAAAATTAAGGAAATTGTAATTTCTAGGACAAGGAAATGTATAATATTTGTTTAATCTTTTAAATGTGTTAGTACAAATACAATGCTGACTAAACAAATTTTTTTCTAAATATGATGTAAAATTAGCTCAGTTTGTTAGCCTTGGCTTTGCAAAAGAAAGAAAGATTTGGCTCCCTGGCAGTGTATTTTTAACTCTTATTTAGTTTTAAAGTGTTTAGTTAAGACATTTGGAAATGATTTTAGC